TGTATGTGATCTTCTAGTGTAAATAAATACGCTATTGAAATCAAACGAGTACATAATTACTCAAATTTGTGTTGATAACAGGCAGTCTAATTTGAAAAATAACTAGCGAATAGTTTTAAAAAACTCGCTCAAAGTTGATTGAAAAAGACAAAAGGAATCTGAGCCGCTCGGTACCGGGGATCAAAAAACTGCCGCTCAATGGAAGGTATCGAATATGCTCGTACGACAAGACTGTCCTGCGATAGGGCTGCCTGAAAGTATTAATAATTCAATACTACTTGCACATTTTCAGTAGGTCGAATTTCCGTCCATCTAAACACTTTCCTGATTATGTTAACATATAGGAGTGGTCCTTATAGTTATCTTGGTTAATAGGCTTTTTTAAGTCTTTTTTGTCCTTTTCGCCTACATTTTTAGTTCAGTAAAAAACTACATAGGGCTTTAGTTTATTATTGCGCAGTTATCACTCATGAAACAACTCCTGAGTTTCACTCGCGGTACTCTGGCTCAACTACGCAGTGGCTACTCAATGTTCCTTCGCCAGTACTGACACCTACTCGAACCGTTCGCACCGCACCCGAATGCTGTCCCGATTGCGGCGTTTCTCAGCAAGACTGTCAGCATGTGTTGGCTTGCAGTTCCCGGCTAGGCACCCAACTCATCCTCGCGGACCTTTGGTTGAAGCCGGTCGAGTTGTTGATTTTTCTCCGTCTTCCAATTACTATCAGTTTGGATTCCGGTGGGGACTTCTGATCCAACAAGGGCTACGACACTAACAGAACTTGGGAATGGGAACGCCCCTCCATGTAATATCGAAGAACATGCACTCAACTCCAGGAAGGTAAATGTCCGCGCGTCGTTGCCTTACCTTTACTCTAACTGTCCAGGAATTTGGCGCAAAAGTGCCAATATTACCGAGATTTCCCGTTGATCTGTTTTGGTGGAGGGGTTATAAGTAATCCCTACCGAAAAATGTTTCTTGACATGACACCCGTCTGACCTGACAATGTCACTAGGTCGGTTAACACTACAGAGGGAACAGCACCAATGTCAATCGGACACATGAAATACACTTCACATATTTAAGAAATCCTCTATACATAAAATCTCCCTTAGGAGAGAGAGAGTGAGTGAGAGGGAGGGAGGGGAGGGTAAGTGGAAGTTGTACAGAAGCAAAAAAATATAAATATGCAATTGTGGTGGATTGGCAGGAGAAAAGTGACGCGGTGGTATCCATCAATCAAACCTCAGCTGACGACGTAGTGCATTTTTTAAGTTGCCACTTCTCGTACAGCCGATGGAACTCGAAAATCACCTAGGGAAAATGTAAAAGAATAGGGCAGGCACCAAGTTGTTTTTACCTCGACAAGGATAAGAGCAATTATCATCCAC